CACATTTGGAAAGAAAGATATATAGATATTTTGCAGATAGCCACAAAGAAAATTCAAGACATGCTACGTTCAACAAAGGACAAGAGGGATCCTCTCAGCACTGCAGGAGTCTTTTGAATAATGTGCATCTGCAGACAAGAAGTCTCCATAGGGACCCCCAAACACAGCAGCATTTCCCAAACACGAATCAAAGAACACAACAGGCACTGCAAACTAACTCAACCAGAGAAGTCAGCTATAGCAGAGCACTTGATGAATCAACCTGGACACAGAATGTGATCTGAGAACACGGAAATACTGGACCATTCTGGCAATAACCACCATGCCAGACTAGACAGAAAAACCATTGAAATCCATAAGCATGAGGACAACTTCAACAGAAAGGAGGAAACCATGAAAATGAACACAATCAGGTTACTGGTATTTACAAACACTAAAATCAAGACAGTAAATAAATGAGGAACACCACTCAGAAACAGGGGAACTCCAGGCAGCAAACAATCAAGTACCAGTTAAGATCTCCCAAACAGAGGATGCCTCCAGGCAACAACAGCCAGGATACCCCTATGCAGATACCCTCACTGATTGACTTTGCAGCTGCAAGACCACTCAATGGTAATCAAGTTGGCTAGTTGCAACATCCATAATTGCTTCAAACATACAAGAGTTCTTTCTCCCACCATGGACATTATTTCACAGATATATATATATATATATATATATATATATATATATATATATATAAACACACACACACTCCAGTGGCCTAATTTCCAACAGACTTCTGAAAATGCCATTGACCACAGATGCAGGCAAAATGTCAGAAGAGAATGCTGCTGTAACATGGCCAGACAGCCCGAAAACTCACAGCAACCCAGTGATTCTGGCCATGAAAGCCTTCGACAACATATATATCAGTGCCCTCTACCGTCTGAAAGCAGAGCTGCATAGCCCTGGCTTTAATAATACCAGTGCTATGATGGGATTCCACCACTCTTCAATGGACTGCAAACACAGGTGCAATGGGTGTGTGGTGTCCACAGGGGTACACACACACACAATTTTTATTGTGTATAAGTGACATACAGAATGTAACCCGCTATGAGCCGCAGGGAGAGGCAGATAAGAAACATTATTATTATTATTATTAGTAGTAGTAGTAGTAGTAGTAGTATTACTACTATTATTAAAAGAAGGCTGTCTCTGTCTCTCTCTTTATATGAAATACACATAATACAAATATGCCATTACCAAACCCACCTATGACTCCATGTGAAACTAATATCTCATAAAAAATTACCGTTATCTTTGCATTAAAAACTTACCCTTCTGATTACTTTAAAGTTTACTTTTGTCTTCCTTTCCAAATATTCAAATGCCAGCCTTCGGTTCCTAGCAAAATCTTTGTTATTTCCTCCCCGAATACCATTGGAAAGCTTGGCCATCTGAATATAATCTAACAATTTTCCTCTCTAGTCCTTTAAAAGTAACTTTTTTCCCTCTTTCCATGATTTTGCTATTGAGAAATGTCTGCGTCTTCTTTACTAGTTCTCTTACAGAATAAACTAGTATTTCTGGTTTTTTTCTTAATCTTTTTAGTAATAATTTGTTTCTTTAATTACATGTTCCCAATTTTTTTGTACCAACCTATCAGTCCACCAAGCTTGGAAGAAAGTACCTTTTTGTCCCACCCTGGTCATTCCACAGATATATAAACCCATTTTCCTAGTTCCAACAGAACTCACTACCTCTGAGGATGCTTGCTATAGATGCAGGCGAAACGTCAGGAGAGAATGCCTCTAGAACATGGCCATATAGCCCGAAAAAACCTACAACAACCCAGTACCTTTCTGTATTTTGCATCCACAACATTCCAGCAACCCCCAAATTTCCATAGATATTAGAGTCCCATTATATATCATCTGCTCGGGATAAAAATATTATAAAGATATATATATATATATATGTGTTTGTGTGTGTGTCTTTGCTTTCTTTCTGAAGGCCAAGAGGGAGGGCACAAATCTAATTTCACTGGTGAGGGAGTTCAAAAGTTGAGAGGCCACCACTGAGAAGGCTTTTCGACTGACCAGGAGTTCCTCTGTCTTGTCTGATTTCGATTTCAATTTGTTCACCCTCATCCAGACCGTCACAGTTGCCAAGCACCGGTTCAGGACCTGAACAGCCTCCTTAGCAACAGATGGAAAGGAATAGTAGAGCTGAACGTCATCTGCGTACAAATGGCATCGAATTCCAAAACTCCGGATGATCTCTCCCAGTGGCTTTATGTAGCTGTTAAACAACATGGGGGACAGTATTGAGCCCTGCAGGACCCCACAAGACAAAGACTGCAGGACTGAGCAAGTGTCCCCCAACAACACCTTCAGGAAGGGCTGGAGCCACTGTAGAACAGTACCTCCGTGAAGCGTCCCAGAAGGTTACTGTGGTCTATGGTATTGAAGGCCACCAAGAGGTCCAGGAGAACCATTCCCCCTGTAAAGAACCCTTCGTAGATAATCCACTAAGGATTATATATTGTATTATATAACTCACTTCAAGGGATGCATGCAGCCATATCAGTGACTAGCCCCCTCCCTATCCACTTTTCAAAAAGATCTGAAGACATGGATGTTCCACTGTTCATTTGATTAAACGTTTCCATTAACAATTGTACTTAGTTAGAACCCAAAAAATTGACTATGCACTTTATCCAAAATTAGAGTTGACCTTTTTATATTGCTCTTATCCTTAATGCTGCTACATGCCCTATTCACTTTACTCATTGACCCTATCCTCCGACCTGTTGTACACCAGGCCGCCCACTTATATCGAGGCTTGACTATGTTATTGCTGTTAGTTTTGACGCTTAATATTTGGTATAATGTTGTTTTATGTTGTTTTAAATTGCTGTGATGCACTCTAATGTGCTGTTTTAACTCTGTTATTTGCGCTTGGCCCCATGTAAGCTGCCCCGAGTCCCTTCGGGGAGATAAAGGTAGGGTATAAAAATAAAGTTGTTGTTATTATTATTGTTGTTATTATTACTATTATTGGGAAGTTACTGCCTTTTAAAAATTATATGATAATCCTTACATTACTGAAAAAGAATCATAATAACTACAGTAGAGTCTTGCTTATCCAATATAAACCGGCTGGCAGAACGTTGGATAAGCAAAAATGTTGGATAATAAGGAAGGATTAAGGAAAAGCCTATTAAATGTCAAATTGCGTTATGATTTCACAAATTATGCACCAAAACAACAAATCAACAGAAAAAGCAGTTCAATACATGGTAATGTTTATGTAGCAATTATGGTGGGAGGCACATTGCGTTAGATAATACAGAATGTTGGATGAGCGAAGAAGGTTGGATAAGTGAGACTTTATTTATTTATGCCCTTCTCACCCCGAAGGGGACTCAGAGCGGCTTACAAGATATATACATACATATATTATATTACTAGCAGTACCTGCCACACGTTGCTGTGGCCAACCTTCCCTCCCTCTTTGTCTCCTTCTTTCTTTCTCTCCTTCCTTCCCCCCCTTCTTTATTCTCTCCTTTCTTCCTTCTCTACCTCTTTCTTTCCTTCTTTCCTTCTTCCTTTTTGCTCTTTGGTTCCATCCTTCCTTCTCTCCTTTCTTCCTTCCCTCGTTCTCTCCTTCCTTCCCTCTCTCCTTCCTTCCTTTTCTTTTTTTCTCTCCTTCCTTCCTTCTCTACCTCTTTCCTGTGTACCCCTTTTTCTTTCCCTCCCTCATTCTCTCCTTCCTTCCTTTTCTACCTCTTTCCTTCCTTCTTTCCTTCTCTGCTTTTTTCCTTCATTCTCTTTCCTTCTGTCCTTCCTTCTTTCCCTCCCTCCTTCCTTCCCTCTAGACAGGCTGGAAAAGAGTTGAGTTTGAAGGCAGCACTTGAGAGATATGTTCCTTCTCTCTGCAGAGCAAGGGCTCCATGGTTAGTAAGCCAGGCATATTGTCATTTAGCTTTTTGGGGGTTTTAAGTCCTTTCTGGGGTTTTTTTTTGGGGGGGGGTTATGGTCACTCGTTAGTCTGTTAAGGGTGTAGTGTCCATATTTGGTGTCAATTCATCCAGTGGATTTGAGTTATGTTAATCCCACAAACGAACATTACATTTTTATTTAGATAGAATATTAGCATAGCACAAGATCAGTATTATATATTACTATATTGTACTATACCATTATATTTTAATATTATTAGTAATATTACATGTAATATAAAATATATAATTATAATATTGTATTATTATTATTAGTAGTAGTATATTGTGTTACGTTATATTATAAATATTAAATGTATATACAATACAATCTATATAAATAAAATGTAATGTTCGTTTGTGGGATTAACATAACTCAAAAACCACTGGACGAATTGACACCAAATTTGGACACAAGACACCTATCAGGCCAACGAGTGACCATCACTCATAAAAACACTGAAAAATACAGCGGAAGGGACTTAAAAGGCCAAAAAATAAAATACATTACAACACATGCACAAAACCACATATACATAAATATACACACAAAACACATAAACACAGACAGGGCCACAGCAACACGTAGCAGGGGACAGCTAGTGTGTTATATTATATTATATTATTCGTATAGCAGAGGAGGCAAGGTGGAGCTGCCTCCCTGGCCCCCTCTCTCTTCGCTCTCGCCCAGAGCAGCAGTCAGTGCTGGGGGGGAGGGGGGTGGCTCCCAGCTGATGGCATAGGCAGAAGACAAGGTGGAACTCGACTGTACAGAGCTTGAAAAGATGCCTATGTACGCTGGGAATTGTAGTTTCGGCGAGTCAGGCAGGCCTCTCAGGTGGAGGAGACGAAAGACAACGTAAAACTACATCCCCCAGAGATTTAGCACGGTCAAAATGGCGGCGGAGTTGGCGTGACCCGGATGCGAGGTGAGCACTACATCCCCCAGAGTGCTTTTCGCGGGACAAAAAAGCAAGCGATGGGAGAGGACGTTGCCGGTTGCGGCCCGCCCCCGTCTGTTTATTTCCCATCGTGCCCCTCGGCGGCTGAGGGGAGAGGAAGAGAGAGCGCGCGTTTGCGGCCTAGTCGTGTCTCTCCCTCTCTCTCTCTCTCTCTCGTTTCCAAGGAGACGCGGGTTCCTTCCTTCCCCGCCGCCATTATGTCTGCCCAGGCCCAGATGCGGGCACTGCTCGACCAGCTGATGGGCACCGCCCGCGACGGTGAGTGAGAGGGCGCCGCGAGGAGCGAGGGAAGGGGAGGGAAGGCCGGACATGGCGGCAACTACTCCTCCCTCCGCGGGCCTGAGGCCTACCCCGCCTTCTCTGCGCCTCACAGGCTTCCTGGCCTTGAGACGAGCCGCACTCGCGCCTGCTGCTGAGGGGAGGGCGCTCTGCAGAGGTCCAGAGGAGCCTCCGCTCTCGCCTCACAGTCCCGCACGCCTTGCCCTTGGCTATTCCCACAACTCTGCTTTATTAAGGTCTTGCTATGGGGGAAGTGTAGTCTGAGTAGGCTCAAGTGCACTCTGCATATGCTCAGAGGCACCCCTGCTCTCGCTTCACAAGCCTTGCCATTGGTTATTACCACAACGGTGAGCTTTCTTAAGATATTGCTAAATTGCTACGGGGGAAGTGCACTCTGCATATGCTCACTCTCTCTAGGCTCAGAGGCGCTCTTCCTGTCATCTTACAGTCCTGCAAGCCTTATCATTAGTTATTCCCACAACTCTTCTCTATTAAGGTATTGCTATGAGGCAGGCGCACTCTGCAAATGCTCAGGTGCACTCTTGCTCTCGCGTCACAGTTCTCCAAGCCTTCCATTGGTTGGTCCATAACTGTGTGCTTTATTGGTATATATTGCTATTGGGGGAAAGTGCACTTTGCATAGGCTCAGAGGTAGCCTGCATAGCTTCAGAGGCACTCTTGCTGCTGGTAATTTTACAATGGTGTGTTTTATTAATATAGTGCTCTCAGAGGCACTCTGCATAGGCTCAGGTACACTCTGCATAGCTCAGAGGCGCCCTTGCTGTTGCCACACAGTTCTCCAAACCTTGCCATCAGTTATTCCCACAACTGTGTGCTTTATTAATGTATATTGTTGTGGGAGGAAGTGCACGCTGCATAGGTTCAGAGGCACTCTTTCTGTCATCTCACAGTTCTCCAAGTCTTGCCATTAGCTATTCCCACAACTCTGCTTTATTAAGTATTGCTGTGAGGCAGGTGCACTCTGCATATGCTCAGAGGCACCCTCGCTGTTGTCTCACAGGCCTGAAACCTTGCCATTGGTTATCCCACAGCTGTGTGCTTTATTAATGTATTGCTATGAGGAGAGTGTGCTCGGCATATGATCAGAGGCACTCTTGCTGCCATCTCACAGTTCCCCAGGCCTTGCCATCGGTGCTTTATTAATGTTTTGCTATGGAGGAAGGGCACTCTGCATATGCTCAGAGGCACTCTTGTTGCTGTCTCACAGTTCTTGAAGCCTTGTCAGCAGTAATTCTACAACTCTGTGCTTTATTAAGGTATTCCTATGAGGCAGGGACTGTTATCTCACAGGCCCCTACACAGCTGAATAAAATCCTTATCTGCTTTGAAGTGGATTATCTGGCAGTATAGACTCAAGATAATCCAGTTCAAAGCAGATAATGTGGATTATCTGCCTTGATATTCTGGATTATATGGCATTGTAGAAGGGCCCACAGTCTCCAAGCCTCGCCATTGGTTATTCTCACAACTCTGTGTTTTATTAGTGTATATTGCAATGAGGAAGGTCCACTCTGCATAGGCACAGAGGCACTCTTGCTCTCATCTCACAGTTCTCCAAGCCTTGCCATCAGCTATTCCCACAACTGTGTGCTTTATTTGTGTATATTGCTATGAGGGAAGTATTCCCACATCTGTGTGCTCTATTATGGTCTTGCCTTTGTTTATTCCACAACTGTGTGATTTCTTAAGGCCCTTCCACACAGCCACACAGCCATATAACCCACAATATCAAGGTAGATAACCCACAATATCTGCTTGGAACTGGATTATCTGAGTTCACACTGCCATATAATCCTGTTCAATGTGGATTTTATGCAGCTGGGTGGAAGGGGTGTCAATGTATATTGCTATGAGGGAGGTGCTCTTTGATTTCATATGCTCAGAGGCACTCTTTGATTTCACAGGCTTCTGGCTTGAAGCCTTGCCATTAGTTCTGCCAAGATATTATTATTATTATTATTATTATTATTATATAGGATGGCCACTGAATGACTGAGGCCCGTTCCACACAGCTGCATAAAATCCACCTTGAACTGGATGATGTGGCAGTGCAGACTCAGATAATCTAGTTCAAAGCAGACAATGTGGATTAACTGCTTGAATCATCTGAATTATATGGCAGTGTGGGCCTTGAATGACAGAAAACAAAAATAACTATTAGAAACACATGTGTGTTCTTTTAAAAAAATATTTGGAAATATAATCTATTTTTTCAGGATTATCTGTTAAAAACAACATCCCTCAAATGACCACCATCAAATGAAGCCCTTTCTACACTGCCATATAATCCTGATTCTCAAAGCAGATAATCTGGATTTTATATAGCAGTGTAGGTAGGGCCTGAAAGAGCTACAACTTTTTGAACCCTTCAGGCCCCTTCTACAGTGCCATATAATCCAGTCTTTCCGTGGCCACCCTGTATTATATGTTCTGCTGAGAGGTTATATTATTATTATTATTATTATTATTATTATTATGGCTTATTAATCTATATGCTACCTTTTTCCAAAATGGATCCCAGGTGGTTTATTATCAGTGAAGTTTGGGGGAGAGAAATACAAATGGCAATATATTTTTGAATAAGTGTGGATAGGAAATACACCCAAAGTATGCTCACAGTCGCTCTTGATTTCCTTTCATTGGATCCTGGTTCAAATCCTTGCCGTTAAGTTCTGCCAAAGCGGAAGTCCCTGCTTGCTTTGAAGATCTTAAGCCTCATGATTATAATTCCACCAATATACAATTTATTAAGATACAAACTACCTTTTCCCAAGTGGATCTGAGGTGGCTCATTATAAAATTATTATTGTTGTTGTTATTATTGCCCATTTTTTCTTTCCTGAAGGAGACTCAAAAGCAGCTTACATTAAAAGAATTTTGATATAATGTAAAATATACAAATATTAAAACAGAATGATATTTTAAAAAACACAAATGTCCATAAAAACATACTCAAAGCTACAGACCAAGCACCCCCTGACTTGATCTTAAAAACCTTCTTTAAAAGCTTTGGGAAAAAAATATATAAATGCCAGTACAGTTCCTGTTGTTAGTGGTTATTCACTATGACATCTGCTACCTTTTTCCCAGAGTGGATTATAAAAGCAGTTTGGGGAGGATGCATATAAATGCCAGTCTCTTGTGGAATAAGCAAAGTGTGCGGTTCATGCTATTAGTGCTTCTGGTTGTTCCAGTGGAGCTTCCAAATGTAGAGGTAAAGTACCTCAGAATATCACACATGGGGAAACAATACACCATATTTCTTTGATTCTAAGATACAGCCACCTGTCTTGTATAGACATCTCTAAAATTGGGGTGCATCTTAGAATCATGGGTGAGGATCACATATATATGTATATTGTGTTGTGTTAATTCTAAGATGCACTTTCCCCATATAAACACCTCTAAAAATGGGGTGCATCTTAGAATCATGGATGAGATATAGTTACATATGTATAGTTGTATACTGTATTTCTTCAATTTTAAGATGCACCTTCCCCCCCCCCCCCCATATAAACATCTCTAAAAATGGGCTGCATCATAGAATCGCAGGTGTTTTATTTGTATACAAACCAAGCTTTTTCCCCCCGTTGGTGGCATGGAAATTAATGCCCGTCTTGCAATTGATGGTGTCTTAGAATCGAAGAAAAACAGTACAGTATATAGCAGGCATGAGCAATTAGGAATTGTGGGAGTTGAAATCCAGAACACCTTAAGGGAGGGCCAAAGTTTGCCAATGCCTGATATATAGCTTCCCCCCCCCCCCCCCTGTTGGTGGTACTGAAATTAGTGTACGCCTTACAATCAATGGTGTCTTAAGAGTTGGAGAAATATGGTATATGTCCTGTTGCCTTTGCAACCTCCTGGTAGGTTTCCCAAGAGACTTTTAGTCTTGAGTTTTTCTTTGGTGATAGATATGATTTCTGGCGACAGAACAACAGGAAGTTGAGCTAGAAGCCAAACCGGTCAGGCTGGGTTGCTTCTGCTGTGAGCTCTGGGGCTGGCCAGTGCATTGTTGGCGATCGCCATTTAGGCAGTGCAATTCTTCATAGGTAAATCACGGTGACAGGTGCCCAAGCAGGACAGCCAGATCCTCAGCCCCTGCGTCATCATTGCACCCTCTTGGTGTGCAAAGCCAAGGGCCTGCCAAAGCAGGTGGTGTGCTCCTTGTCGTAACATCTGATCTCTGGAAACATCTGCTCGGTTGCATAAAACACCGGTACAGATGGTGCAAGTGTCAAAGCTTTTAGAGTCAAAGAGATCTGGTGTGCTCTGTTTTAAGGGTTCAGTGGAAAGCATAAGCAGAGAGTACATATCACATTAATTTTCTAAACTTTCACACTCAGAGATGCCCGAAACGTAAGGCTTTAATTGCCAGTTTTGTCAGCTATATGTAGCTCATAATGTCTTGAGCTATAAGCTTGAATTTATATGGTGAGGCTTTTCTCTTGTAGACTCACCTGTATAGGTAATGCTTCCTGTATAAAAACACGGAGGTTGCCTGTTCTTCATAGAAACAGGATTTTAGTGTGTGCCCCAGGAAAACATTATTTCCCTTGGAAAGCTGTGCATTCCTGAAAAGGTTTGTATTTGCTTCCCTCCTTCCTTGAATCGGCAACTAAAAGTCTGGCACATTTGCAGAACTCTGCACATAACTTTTTGCACTTTGTTTCATAATTGAATAAGTGCTCGTTCTTTCTTTGTGTAATTTTGAGTTGCTTTTGAAATGCTTCCCATATTTTTATTTCATACAAACTGAACAATTGTGGCCCCTCTATTTTATTTATAAAGGTTCAGTGTATCTTTGCCTGCCTACATCAATCTGCAAGGGAGTTGCAGAAAAGCCTCATGTTCATCGAGCCGTGAGTCACAACCAATTTTTAAAGCTGTTATAACAAAAAGAAAGTGTTTGCTGCTTTTTTTCACAAGTAACTTTAAAAGTGTAGCTTAGAAAAGAAGGAAAAAAGGTTTTAAAAACCATTTTCAGTAGACACAACATTAATCCTGGATGCTTGCAAATCCTGATCTGTAGTCATACACAGATTAGCTTTTTAAAAACAATTGTCACATACCATTACCACTTTGCCTTTACTTCTTATGTATCATTCCCCTGACTTCCTTACTGCAGGTATGGGCAAGAAAACTTTTCCTTTAAAACTTTTCAACAGCGGGCATAAAATTCTGCAGCTGAGGTCTTGAAGAATGCAGATGGGTATAGTATGTGTTGGAGCTCGCAGTGTGTATTAACTAACTTTTTTTAAAGTTTGCTTGTTTTAAGTGGCTCCCAAATGTACAATGTTTTCTTGGGGGTGGGAAAGGGGAGGGATAAAGCAGATCAACTTTCTAGAACAGCTCTAGATATCTTGGCAGCTTTTCCAAATGCACTGTATGAAACATATTTATGAATACTCAGTCCTTAACTGAAAATATACTGAATTCATAAATGGCTGCCTGATAAAATATACTAGCTGTGGGTCTGTCTTGTGATCCAAGAGCTTTGAGCCGCGTGTTTTGATTTCTATTGAACCCTCATTCTCCATGTAGAGAAAAACCTTTCTATGGATGTGATCCAGACGTCCCTCTTTTGGCTCTGCTGTCTTTTTATGTAGATGTCTGGCAACTGACATAATTTTGGTCAGCACCAAATTAGTAAGTGGTGCATGTAACATTAAATGCAGTGCTTAGTTCAGTTCTTGGTTGTGAAAGGAAAATGACTATTCCATGACGTATGCTTTTAGAGTTTCCCAGCTCTTCTGGGGTTCGTGAAGTATTTATTCTGTATAATGAAACAAAATTAAACGTACCACAACTTGCCTTTCATAGACAGCACTTTTAATGTTTTTCATATTTATAACCAAACATGAATTTCAGGCGATGAAACCAGGCAAAGGGTGAAGTTTACAGATGAGCGAGTCTGCAAGAGCCACCTTCTGGATTGCTGCCCACATGATATTCTTGCCGGAACGGTACGTACTCTTTCTCATGACATTGAGATACAATTGTCAAAAGACTTTATTCAATATGTGGTTTGGTTTGGTAGCTAAATCATATTTGAGATCATCCTACATATCCATGCGCATGAACTCCAAAGTCCAGCAATAGCAAGCTGGCAGTCAACCACTTCTTTAGAATAAGATCATTATTCTGGGCTAAAATGGGAGATGTGCTTTGAGAGATTTATTATAGAATGAATAAGAATGAATATATTAGGAAATGCCTGGCTTCATGTGGTTAATATAAATACTTTTTGTCTTAATCAGATAGATACACAGGGAATATAACCACAATGCAATAAAACAACTAAACAATATTAAGAGGCAGTAATGGTCTAATTAGAAACCTTGACAAAATTAGAGTGCATGCCAAGGGGAGCTTTATCTTCTAGTTGTTGTCTTCATGTCACATTCTTGCTCTTTACATGTGTAGTGTGCTGTATGTGTCCAGATAAATCTGGTTTGTGAGTGATTTCAAGTAAAATAAATATACTCCCTCAGGGAACGGTAGCTTAAGAAAGAAAGAGGGCAATGCATTTATGTCTATTTAGTGAAGTCTTTGCAGATATGAATTTTATACTGATGGCATCCTGGTCCAGAAGGCGTTCTCTTAACGGGCATATTATTACAGGCCTGTGTGAATCTCTGTGGAATGCAATATAAAATTAGTAGCAAAAGGATTACCGTAGAGTAAACTCCAGAATAATTCAGACGATTTTCTTAGTTTATCACAAGCAACTAAGCATTGTGCTTGTAATGATTTAAAGGAGGTTGTTAGTTTAAAAAACTCTGTTTTATTGAGTTTTAAAATACTTTTTCTACTTTTTAACAGCGCATGGACCTGGGAGAGTGCACAAAAATTCATGATTTGGCACTAAGAGCAGATTATGAGATTGCAAGTAAAGAAAGGGATCTGTTCTTTGAGCTGGATGTAAGTTTCCCAAATTTCTGGAAATGATATGTGCGTAAATTGAGCAATAAGAGTACAAACATTCTTGCTAATCTTTTGATTCCTTTTTTACCTGAACATCCTTCTGGAATAGGGAGCATGGGTACTCTATACCACTTGATTATTTTATGTGATTTATTTACTACGCCGCATTCTAGAAATTCACCAGGGATCATAATGCAGTATGTTTTAATGAGTAAATCTCTCTCTCTAAAGGGCTTCTAGGCTATTCTTAAAACAAGAGTTTTCAGAACTCTTTGCTATTGATTGTTCCCAGATGTTCAGTGTGACTGATTGTTCCCAGATGTTCAGTGTGACATATTCTTAGAATTATGGCAGGTTATTTAGTAGCCTATCCAGTGGAAATTAGTGGTCATGTATATTATGTGCTTGAACTAGTTGACATTATTTAGAGCAGTGAACTAGTTGACATTATTTAGAGCAGTCCCCAGATGTTTTTGGCCTTCAACTCCCAGAAATCCTAACAGCTGGCAAACTGGCTGAGATTTCTGGGAGTTGTAGGCCAAAAACATCTGGGGACCCCAGGCTGAGAACCACTGATTTAGAGGATGATACTACACAAGATGGGTCAGAAAATAATTCTCTGAATATTTAGTCCATGCATCATTTTAGAGCAGTTTGGTCAACTTGGCCCAAGCCATATTTACCAATCCCAGCACCTGCAGTTCAACACACAGAGCCAGCAACAACCCAGCTGTTTATGGGGTCTTTTTTATAAATCAGAGTCAAATCAGGCTTTGTTGTTTGAAGTATACTTCAAAAATCAAGAGTTCTTTTAGTAATGCTTCTGCAGTTTCTATTGCTTGTCTATTAGTGGAGTGTGTATTTTGCTTTCATCATGGGTAAGAATGTTCTTCAGGCAGGAAAATGAAATGTCAAGGAGAAAAATGGATTTACAGATTTATCTTTGACATGCTTATCTTTCTGTAAATCGAAGGAAGCAATTATACACCCCTTCTTTTTAATAAGGGCAGAGCTAAAGTGGTAAACGGTGGTGGGGGAGGAAATGATTACTAGATGAGCATGCTAGCAAGATTTGAGAGCACGTGGTGGCCTCACAACTCCAGAGGTTCCTGGATTAAACTGATCTAGATCCATCCCAGTCTGGTTTCAGGCCTGGCTATGGAACTGAAGACAGTGTTGGTTGCCTTGTTGGATGATCTACGTAGAGAACTAGATGGGGGGATGTGTCCCTTCTGGTTCTCTTAGACCTATCAGCGGCTTTTGATACCATCAGCCATGGTATCCTTCTGGAATGCCTTGCGGGAATGGTACTTGGAGGCACTGTGTTACAGTAGTTCCTGTCCTTCCTTGAAAGCCAGGTCTGGAAGGTGGTGCTGAGGGACTCCTGCTTAACCCCATGGCCTTTGTCCACAGAGTTCAATTCTGTTCCCCATGTTGCTTAATATCTACATGAAACCGTTGGGAGGGATCATATGGAGTTTTTGGGTTCGGTGCCGACTGTATGCAGACGACACCCAACTCTATTACTTATTTCCACCTGATGCCAAGAATGCTATCCTGACCCTGAACCCCGATGCCTGTCAGCTGTGATGGACTGTATGAGGATGAACAGATTGAAATTGAATCCAGACAAGATGGAGGTACTACTGGTCAGTCATATGACTGATCAGGGTATTTGGTGGCAACCTGCTGGGTGGAGTCACACTCCCCCTGAAGGCACAGGTCCACAGTCTGGGGGTTCTCCTGGACTCAGCGTTGACCCTGGAGGCACAGGTGTCGGTGGTGACCAGGATGGCCTTTGCACAGTTAAAGCTTGTGAGCCAACTGCTCCCGTACCTTGAAAAGCCCGATCTGGCCATGGTAGTACATGCCTTAGTCACATCCAGACTAGACTACTGTAACATGCTCTATGTGGGGTTGCCCCAGAAGAGCGTTCATAAACTGCAACTGGTACAAAGGTCAGCAGCTAGACTGCTCACAGGAGCAGGATATAGAGAAAGAACTATCCTGCTCCTCAAGCAGCTACACTGGCTTCCAGTTTGTTTCCAGGTGCAATTAAAGGTGCTGGGTTTAGCCTATAAAGCCTTAAATGGTTTGGGCCCAGTCTACTTGAGGGACCGCATCTCCTCCTATCATCCCACATAATCCCTGAGATCATCAGGAGAGGCCCTTCTCTCAGTCCCACCAGTGTGTTTGGTGGGAATGAGAAAAAGGACCATTGTGGTGGTGGCCCCATAGCTCTGAAACTCCCTCCCCAAAGAGGTGTGCTTGGCCCCTTCGTTATTGGCCTTTTGCTCCCAGGTTAAAACCTTTTTATGGCAGCAGGCCTTCCTGGACAACCCACAATAACAAGCTTTCTCTGTCAGACAAGGCTCATGTGGCTAAAGATTTGGAGCTTTGAGTCTTTAGTACAATGTGTTTAGAACAACCTTAGTGGGCTGAAGCCCAGGGATTTTAATGATAATGATAAATGTTGTTATTTTTATGCTTATCTATATGGTATGTAATATGTTTATGCAATGTGCCTGGCTTATTGTTCATCTGTTTGGGTTGGGATGAAGATGTTGTGTTACTGTATTGTGTAGTTTTGTTTTTACCATTTGTTTGCCGCTTTGAGTCCCACTTATGGGAGAAAAGCAGGGTAAAAATAAATTAATAATTGTAACAATAATGCTCAGTTTGAGCCTTTCCAAAAGCTGTTTTCAGCAGGGAAGAATATAAGGTGATATGCACCAATGTCTGTGTCCACATCGGGAGCGAGAAAGTATAATTTCCGCTGTTTGTACCTGTGCAGGCAATGGACCACTTGGAGTCTTTCATTGCTGAATGTGACAGAAGAACTGAACTGGCAAAGAAACGGCTTGCAGAAACACAGGAAGAGATCAGTGCTGAAGTAGCCGCCAAGGTATTTCCATTGTGTCAAATCATGTGTGATGGCCTCCTGTGCAAGCTGGAAGAGCTTTAGTACAGGTATCCCAGTTAAGAAACTAAGTATGTTCCTGGACATTACTTCTTCAGTGGAAAATTTCATGCCATACTTTGCTGAAATACGTTGGACTACTCTTCTTTTTGTCATGTATATACCTATTTCCATGAAGTGCTCCCCTCCGATCAGCTCAGGGACAGCCATCACTTAAAATTGGCTAGAGATAGCACATTCGTATGTGTGGCACCAAAACTTTGGAATGCTTTGCCAGAAGCGATAAGAGCAGCTCTTGGCCTTTAGGAAAAACTTGAAAACTTTCCTGTGTGGAATAGCTTTTCACTGATGGTGGCAGAAGGCTAGGACCTGTACTTTATAGTCACATTTTACCCCATAGGTATTTTAGACTGTTTAATTTTGACAATTTTAAATCCGATATTGACTGATTTGGGATTATTTTAATGGGTTATATTATGTTGTTGTTGTTCATTCGTTCAGTCGTCTCCGACTCTTCGTGACCTCATGGACCAGCCCACGCCAGAGCTCCCTGTCGGCCGTTACCACCCCCAGCTCCCTCAAGGTCCGAGTCCGAGTAGGGTTATATTATATTATGTTTTAATTATGGTTGTAAATCGCCTTGAGATCTTTGAGAAAGACAATATAGAAATGTCCCAAACAAATAATAATTATTTCTTTTTTAATAATATTTCTGCTTCTGGTAACAAATTTTATGTCAGAGAAGGAATGCCCAGGAATGTATCTACTCTGTGATCACTGAGGCACACCTATAATTGATACCCTCTTGTACTGTTACCTGAGTCCCCCCACTTTTCCATTCTTAGTTGCAAACAATTCACTGATCTTCTGTACACGTTGCATTGGGGTGTGCAAGACAGATTTGGGCTAAGACAATGAATGGTCTTTTGCAGATACTTCAGTTGGTCTTGGTCTAAACCAAAATGCTAGTCTGTTTTTTAGTAGACTCATGGAGTGAATGCAAGTTTGGTGAATCAGCATTTATGCAAGCATATAGATTTCTTGGGTTTACTCTCATTGGGATAATTTCAGATAGTGATGGTCTAGTGGCTGGTGCCAGTCCCTGCCAGATTTCCAAGAAAGAAAGTAAAATCATTAAAGGACCGTGTTACACAGCCGAACCAAGACACCAGCCGTGAGCTAAGAGTTGGAAGAGGCCACATGGGCCATCTAGTCCAACCTCCCCGCCATGCAGGAAAAGCACAATCAAAGTACCCCTGACAGATGGCCAAAGAACCCCTGACAATGGGTGCAGATGTACTAGGACCTGGTTCATTATAAATCCTGGTACATTCTATAATAAATAAAGTGGTTCTCACATCAGATAGTTTGAGATGGACTGATTCAGGTCCCTTTAAACTCATTTTAAAAATGTGAATGTAACCACTAAAATATTTTTAAATGTTAACTCCAGCCACAAATTCACTATTTCAGTCGTGCACTTAAAGTCTTGCTGAAAAATAATAAAATTCTTATTTGGGTCAGAAAATGTCAAGAATTAAAGCATTCAGTGGATGTTTTAAAAAATAAATCTGTATGGTGATTAAAGTAGCTCAAACTTGTAACAATTTAAAAATAAAGTCAATTCAGTCTACTTCATCAAAACCGAAAAACCTCTCTGAATTTTCCACAAAATAACCATAGGGGAAGTGGTTTCTGTTGAATCAGTTTATTGAAACCAAAGCTGCAGCAGACTCATTCCCAAAATCCTCTCTTTCTAGGCAGAAAAGGTTCATGAACTAAATGAAGACATTGGCAAACTCCTGGCTAAAGCTGAACAGCTGGGAGCAGAAGGGAATGTGGATGAGTCCCAGAAGATATTGATGGAAGTTGAGAAAGTGCGAGCAAAAAAGAAAGAAGCCGAGGTTTGTATTGCTTGGATTTGGCAGTAAACTTGCTTGAAAAAAACTGCTCCGAATGATGATATATATTTTGGAGCTTCATGTGTATTTAATTTGGCATATGCTACACAGTGGCTATTTGGCTTACTTCTGGTATATTCATTTGCGTAAAAGTGGTAAATCCAGTAACGTTTGCTCAGAGGAAGTGATGTGGAGAAAAGAAAGGATCAAAGGAGCACCTTATGGAGGTCTGGATACTAAGCTGCCTCTGCTCTTTCACAGGAAGAGTACCGCAATTCTATGCCTGCATCCAGCTTTCAGCAACAGAAGCTGCGTGTCTGTGAAGTCTGTTCTGCATACCTTGGTCTCCATGACAATGATCGTCGTCTTGCAGATCACTTTGGAGGCAAACTGCATTTGGGCTTCATTCAGATCCGTGAGAAGCTGGACCAGTTGCGGGTAAGAGCCAGAACTCTCCAGGCAAAAAACACCTGCTTTGTTTGTAGAAAGGTCTCAGTTCAGTCTTAGTTATTTATATATCTATTTACCCCACCTGTTTCCTAAAATTGACTCAAGGCTTGATAGAGAGTCCTGAGTTGAATTATCAAACCTGTTATAAGACAGCTTCCTCTTTTATTACGCTATGAGACTTCTGATTGAGTTCTATGTTTTGCCCGCAGCTTATGTCAGTCCTCTGAACTGCGCATAGTTTGGCATAATCATTCCCTAGATTCTGCTTTGAGTCCCATTTGGGTGAAGTGGGATATAAATCAAGTCATTAAATACATTTACATGAATCTTGCTTAATTTTTAAACATTAAGATTACTGTGCCATTCTTCATGGCTTACTGTCAGATCTGTCATTTGACTTCATTGAATTTCATGTATATGAGATAAAAGAGGAAATTCTGTCCATAAGCAGATAACATATTCGCTAAGTGAATATGCATTTCTGAACAGACCTTGTATTAAAAGTAAGAATATCTAACCAGTAGAACAGATTGACAATATTTAGTGAGTTTAAGTAGTTAGTAACTGCTAAATTTTACTTTCTTTTTAATATTCTTGTGGTTAATACTTGCTCTGTAATAAGTTGTGTGTTTCAGCAATTCAGGAAGTAGTTGGATGTCACCAGATTGTCAGTCACTCCGTTTTATGTCACAGACATGTTTTGTTTCCTAAGTGTATGGATTCTGTTGACAAGCTTCTTTGTATGTTCATAGAAAACTGTAGCAGAAAAGCAGGAGAAGAGAAATCAGGACCGGTTGAGGCGGAGAGAAGAAAGAGAGCGTGAGGAACGCATGGGACAACGGTGAGTGAGTTCAAGCAGTCTTTGCGAAGGATTCGTGGTGTCATGGCATAGCAGTTTACAAATGTAAAATTCTGTGTAAATTTTCCAAGAAGTAGTGTACCAGAGGCTGGAGCTGAACTGTAGCCTGTGAACAGTAAATGGCTCTCCTCAGGCCAGCTGTTGCCATTGTCCTTATAAGTCAATAGAGGTGTTGGATATTATATTTGTGGGGTGTTGGATATTATATTTGTGGGGTGAACCAGGGAAGTGTAACCTGCAGGTTATAATTTAGGAACATAATCAACTTTGTAGGCAAGGAACAAAGCAGGTTTTGTGGCTAGGGCTCTGTGTCTGAAAATTTGAAACAAGCTGTCATTCTGTTTCATATATGAAATTTCAATGAACTCCACATTTTTATAACCACTTTACTATTTCATTCTTGATTTATCTTACAATAGTATTCTTAAATGGTTTTATTCTTGTTGCTGAAATTATCACTAAATTTTTTCCATTGTGAACAGCATTTAATTTGAACTTGTCCAGAATGGCATACCTTCAAATCTAAACTTCTCTGAATTATTCTTCTTTTTCTAGATCTGGATCAAGAAACAGAGATCGCAGAAGGTAAGCTTGCTTTGAGGTTTCTATGAGAGATGGGGTTCTTTGTAATATAATATAATTGACAAAAGTATTAGAATTCTGTTAGAGCCCTGCTTCTCCTCAGTCACCAAAACTCATCCCCCCATCATGGTTAAACATGATTTATTAAACCAGTTGTTACAGGCCAGGCTTATTTTCATTGTTTAAGGCCTGGAAATATACAGAGCAAAACCTATAGAGTGTAACCTATGATGTACAAGGTATAATACAGGAAGCTATGTGTATTAGAATGAGTGTTTGTGTGAATTACTGGGAACAAAGAAATGGGTTAATGCCAGGCAGGCAGCCTGTTAAAGGTGAGCAAAGACATGGAATCCTAGAGTTGGAAGACACCTGATGGGCCATCCAGTCCAACCCCATTCTGCCAAGAGGCAGGAAGATTGCATACAAAGCACTCCCGACAGATGACCATCTAGCTTCTGTTTAAAAGCCTCCAAAGAAGCAGTCTCCACGACACCAGGGCAGAGAGTTCCACTCCTGGATGAGAATGTGTGCATTTCTCTCAACACTGAGATAGCAGATTTGACCTTCAATTAATCTTCCTTATAAGGTCATTGGTTGATGCAATCGGAATGGCAGGCAGCCAAAGACTACAACAGGAACCACAGTGACATCTTATCTAAGATTTCTGTTTTGATTGGATGACATAATTGCAGTACTGTCAGCATCTTTGTTTTGATAGGACAAAAAATAGTGGAGGAAAGGAAATATAAAAGCTCTTGCCCTGTGCCTGATGACTCGTAACAGTAAGAGATAGAATAGAGTGATAATTAGGAAACTAATGTCACTCAACCCTAAAATCCCTAATGATGTCACGTGGCAGTTTTGTATAAACATTAAAGGTAGATGACTGCATATTTCTACATCCAGGGAGACTCTGTTCCCAGGCAAAGATGCATTACAGCTGTCTTTCAAAGAGGCGGGCATTTACAGTAACACAAAGAGGTATTTGCCGCCCTCTTGACCAGCAGAATTAATTCGTATACTAGTAAGATATGAAATAGGTTATACCAGGTATGGGCAAACTTCAGCCCTCCCTCCAGTTATTTTGGACCCCACTTCCACAATTCCGAACTGTCGGTAGACTGTTAGGCATTGTGGGAGTTGAAGTCCAAAAAACCCGGAGGGAGGGCTGAAGTTTGCCCATGTCTGTGGTATACTGATATCAAGCATCAAATGGAATTCCATGTAGGAATACTTGATATTGATAGATATGAAGCAGCGTGTCCTTTTGTGTTCCATCCAGGTCTCGGTCTCGAGAGCGGAGGCGAAGGCGCTCGAGATCTGCTTCCCGTGAGAAACGGAAATCCCGCTCCAAATCCCGAGAGCGGGAGAGGCACCGGCGCCACCGCAGCCGTTCTCGCAGCCATAGCCGGGGCCACCGGCGGGGATCCAGAGACAGGAGCTCCAAACATAAGTATGCCCTGCTGTCATAATGCTCTGTTGGGGAGACTTTTTGTCTAGTAGTTTAGGTTTGAGAGCCGAGTTTGATTCCAAACACGGAATTGGAAATGGTGTGAGAAATTAGAATTGGCCGAAGAACCAATCAGTTATTCCCGAAGGCCATCAGCAGATGAGCTCTTAAGATACAAATTATCAAGTAGGGCAATTAACAGTTGAGGTGACTTCTGGTTTCTTTTTCTCCAGTGGAGACTCTGAAGACAGACTGTGTCAATCTCATTGTACTGTGAGCTCCATTTAGTACTCGTGGGTTTGGTTGTGGGCTAGACCTGCAAGTCTGCCTTCACATACCACCTAAAATAAAATCCTTTCCTCTGAGTAGAACTTTCTCCTGTTGAAAGGCAAGCTCAGTGAGGAATCAAAATAAATTTATTTAGAATCTTTGCTGCATTAGGGACAGAGGTTTTCAATGCTACTCATGAGAAGTCAAAGCCAATGGTGCAGATGTGTCAATGCAAAGTAACTAGTAAACATGACTGGTATGCTGGTTTAATTGGTCCCTATTATGTGGAGATTCAAGAAGTGTTGATAGGATAGGTTTGATTTGACAGTGTTACGTTACAGGGCTTTAGCTGTGCCAGGAATTTTAGACTTGGCCTCCAACTGTGATTCAACTCCTGGATTCAGTTTCTTGAAAATATACCAAGTTTTTTGAGTCATAGAATCCTAAAATTGGAAAAGACCCCAAGGGCCATCCAGTCCAGTCTTATTCTGCCAGGCAGGAAAACAAAGTTCTCCCAAAAGATGGTCCATTCATCCTCTATTTAACTAGTCATGCTAATTTTAGTGAGAAGTTTCACGGAAATCACTTGACTCATGACAAAAATATTTCATGTGGTTTAATATGAGACAGTCTTGGGTCTCCAGAGTAACTTGATTGATAATGTCTACTGCTACATGATCAAGTGAATGAAAATGATGAGGATTGGAAAGTTAAGCTGTTAGAAATGGGGTGTGTGTTATCTATTGGTTGAGATACTAAATTCATTTTTTAAATCTGTCTTGAACATGAACAATAAAGAAAAGAAGTTTGGACAATTAGGAAATGAGGAAGACCCTGTAATTACTTTTGCTAAAGAGCAGGTAAGGGAATACTTCAGAAACCTCACATGTGCATTAGTCCATCTTGAGAGTGTTCCCTAGTGAGAGGAATTGTATGAATGGTCATATCTGGGGCTGGGCAGTGGGAGGGAATGGTAAGGCCCCAGAAGTCTGGAAAGAGAGGGAAATACTGTAATTTTCCCTCAGAAAGATAATCACAATTACTTTGATCCATTGCCTTTGTAAAAATATAGTGTCTTGAAATAAGTATGTAAACTTCAGGAAGATGTGAAACCATTAATGAAGGATAGTGTTGGATAGATGATTAGCATGCTTACGAATATGGGGATGTCCCCGTCTCCTGCATTGTTCATATAATATTCAGATTTCAGTGCTGTGTTGCAGGGTGAAGGGAGAAAAGTGTTGGTTGCAGCTCCTGCCACTCTCTCCTATTACTTTATTTATCAGTATGTCTGTATTAAAATATTGACGCCTCAACCTATATTAAGAGATATCGGGGCAACTTATAAAGAGCATTAAAACATGCAAGCTAATTTCAATGTGTTAATCACAATATAATGAGCTAAAAACAGAATAAAAAGATTTAAAAGTTGTGGGAACAGTATAATAAAAGAGAATAACATAAGCTGTTGAAGCTAACCGCCCTGAGTAACTGAAGTAGTATTATTATTACCACTACTACTACTACTACTACCACCTCAGTTTGCATTCAAAGTTGCCAGTTTTTCCTGGTGGAAGTTTTCAGTCTTGTTTGTAGCTCCACTTTTGTTGCTCTTTTTTCCAAAATCCAAATGCCTCTTCCCAAAAGAACCTTCACATGAACTGAAAGGTAATAGGTGCTTGCATGTATTTCTCCTTAGCTGATGAAAGGTATGGCCTGTAACATTTAAGGCTGTAGAGTCACCAGGTTGTCTCACTATTATCTTTTATGTGTTTGCCATCCTTTGTGTCTCACCCTTCTCCTAGTGGTGCTTACAGGCATCAGTAAAACCTGTGAGGCAAACTAGGCTTGATTAAGGGTATAAAATAGTGTATGGTCAACCATGGAGTTTTATGGAGTGATCTATTTGGACAAGAATGGTTCTCCTCTTTTTTATCATTGGGGCTGTACAGATAAGGAATAGTATTGCGTTCAACAGTTGGGCACTTCCTGAGTACTGCATTCTAAAGCTGGGATCCATGGCCAGATTATGGAAATGGGAGCCCTGCCTCTCCGTCTGTGTTCTCTAAATATGCACATTGCAAGGAGATGGAGCATGCACATATGCTGGAAGAGGCCCCTGTATGTATTTTTTGTTCTGTTTTCCGCAGGTTGGGTTCAGAACAAGAGGGCACATGAGCAACAGTAAGGAAATAGAGGTAAAGAAGTGGGAGGCCCACTTCAGCCCTTTCTACGTTGCCATATAAAATCCAGATTATTTTCTTTGAAATGGATTTTATGGCATTGTAGACTTATATAATCAAGTTCAAAGTAGACAATGTGGATTATCTGATGGGATAATCAGGGGCCTTAGTGTGTCTCCAGTCTCCCTTGGGACTGGGAGTAATGGGCTTCCTTTGCAATATTGCATTTGGAGACAAAGCAGGCCTATCCTGTCTTTGTGCAGTTCTCCTCACTTATCTCTCTGGCCTCTGTGACGATAGATAACAGTAGGAAACATTACATATCGAGTAAACTGTAGGATAGAACTGACATGTGCGACAAATAAAATAGACGTTTTAGATGTGTCATTAACTGGGAGCAAAAAAAAAGTTAAGGGAGGTCATGTTTTTAAAAGCATTAGGTAAAAAAAAAAAAGCATGGTTGGAGAACCACTAGTCAGGTAGGAACATTACAAAAAGTGGCTTGGTGCTGGTATTACCAACAAATTCCTACCTTTGGAAGGAATAGCAAAATATTGCTGTAGAGAACTCACACAGCCATCTACTTACTGAGAGTTTGATATTTTTTTTTTGCTTGCTTGCTTCTCTTAACTTTGTGAATGCCATCTCTGTGGGGCACTGGAGGAATTTTTTTAAAACATTATGTGGTTTTGGGCACTTCTTGTGCTTGAAGCAGATATCCTAATGCACACAGGGAGACTGTATTTCAAGTTGGGTCGGCAAGATCAGAGACACAGCATCATTCGGCGATTCTTTGATATGCTCACTACATCATTCTGTTGGTTATGCCAGGAATTCAGCTGAAGACAATACTTCAGTTTTTGCTTTTAGTCATTGTTTGGTTTTGGCCTTTGAATTTCCATTTATGAGTTTTGAAAGCCTTTCTGGATGTGGGTGAAGTACAACTCCCATGCTCCTGTGTCCATCTCCCACAAACCCGGCCAGTACTTAAAGTTGGACATGGTGGAGATGTGTGTCACGTTTGGTTCAGATCCATTGCCAGTGGGGTTCACAGTGCTCCTTGGTTGTGGGTGAATCAAAAGTCCCATCATCCTGGGTCAGTTCCCCCCCCCCCCCCCCCCCCAACCTCTCCAGTATTGTCTCTTTGTCGTGATGGGTCTGTGTGCCAAGTTTGGCCTCGATCTGTTGCTGGCAGGTGTTGCAGGGCTCTCTGGATGTGGGAGCCATCTTGGAAAAGACATGCAAACATAGAGAGGTCTATGCAGACATACTTTGACTTTTGCTATATATGTAGACATAGGTAGAAGATAGGTGTGAGAACTTACATAGTTGTGTCTTTATAGTGTTGTTTGATTTACACTTCAGGTCCTCTAGAGACCGGTCTTCCAGGGAGAAATCGCGGGAGCGAGAGAAGAAAGAGAAGAGCTCTTCTGAACGGCGGCATGAGAGCACCAACGGCAAATCTCGCTCGAAGAGGTCGGAGGAGCGGGAGGCCGGCGAGATCTGAACGCTGGCGAGATCCGCCTTGTACTGTATATAGTCTTGAGAAACATTCTACACAGTCCAAATTTCTCATTTATATTAACTGAATACGGCACATCTTTTGTAGTCCCAAATTTATTATTTGTTTCTGCAAGTAGCCAAGCTGGTAGTGTAACAGTTCTCTGCCATTGACGGAACCTTTGTTTTTAATAGGCACAAACAGACCAAGCCGCCAGCTTTTAACACAGATTAGTGACCTAGGCATAGAGCGTAACATGCTGGGAAAACCCATATCCCCTTCATGTACATTTTTTTAAAGAGCCACTTGCAGCTCTTTAAAAGAACCTCGGCAGCACTGGTACCTTTCCCCTATTTCTCAACATGAGCTCAATACAAACTAGTGAAACTGGCTGTGTTTAATTGGTAAGACAGCCTAGTTTAGCCAAGTAATTTGGGGATAGCTGGAAAAACATGACACCATAATTCTATGAAGTTTTTTTGTTTGGTTGGTTTTGGTAGCTGTATTTGCACCCTGTTGAAATAGCACAGAATTCAGATTTAAATTGATGTTTTATATGATTATTTTGTCTCATCCATATGAATTGACACAACTTTTAACACATTGAATTTCACCCGATTTTTTTTTGTTCTTTCTTTTAATCTGGTTTTTGTGTCCAGATGTGTAGGTTTTGAATAGCAGACCACTGGACCTAGATAATATTGTATTGTCAATGACTTTCATGGCCGGAATCACTGGGTTGTTGTAGGTTTTTCTAGAACATGGCCATACAGCCCGAAAAACCTACAACAACCTATAGATAATATTTATTGCCTAGTTGAGAGGCCTTTAAGGGGAGGGAACATATTCAACTGGATTCAGTTGCAAATGGCTTGCAGCGGTCTCAGAGAGCCTGTCTTAAGGCTAGTCTATTTAGAACATTTATTGTTAACCAACTGGGCAGAATAGACTTTGGGATCTTTTTGTACCAAAGTCTTGTGCTAAAAGTTTGCAGCAACTGAATGAGAGCACATTGAGAACATGAATAGCCAAGTTACAATTTGTCTCTGCTTCAGCAGTGCTATGTTCATCATATTGGGACATTTTGATTTTCTGTTTGCTTTTCATAACTCTGGCAATTCTCTGAACCCATTTTATTGTGCCTCTTGGTTATCTTTCCTCCCCTCACCTTGTGTCTTTTTTTCTGCAGAATGTCAAGGGTTAACGGGATTGTGTTTGTCTTAGTATGTATGTAGAATTTTCTTTTTGTTGCTGAATTTTCCTTTTCCTCAGCAAAACAGTTGAGGCATGTATTCTCTGGGCCCTTTGTTTCATGTCTTGTGGTTTCTATCAGAATGAATGAACCCAGAGCAAGGAACATCATGCAGATGAGTTCATTCAGGGGGATTAGTTCCGATTCCTGTCGCTTTGCACCTTCGCCTCCATTTGGGACGGGCAGGATCTGGTCCAAGGGCATATCTAGAGTTCCTTTTCCCCCATTTCCTTTGGGAAGTCACTGGGCCCAGTCAGAGAAGCCAGCGGAGCATACCGCATTCAGTGTACAGAGTATTAGAAATACACCCCCCTCTATGGAATTGTTATGTTTGCTGTTTGCGGTTGCGCAGTTTGATCCTTAACAGCACTTTCTTTCCCCCTCTTTTGCCTTTTTGAGGAGTTTGGTCTAAGTAATAAAGATGTAAGTAAGATGCTGTCCTCTTTACCAGTCTGATTCACATTAAAAACTTATCTTTGTGACTTGGAGTAGATGGTGCTTTCTTTTGGTGTGACTTTTAATGCCTGGAACTTGCCTGAAACCCATCTGCTGTCAACTGAGAAGGTTGGTAGGAGACTGGGACTCATGGGTTCAAATGACAGGAAAGGATATACCACTTGAACACCAGGAAGATCTCCCGGACCATAAGAAGGACTGGTCAATAATGGAAAACTCTGCCTCAAGTTCTGGTGGAGGCTCCTTCTCTAGAGGCCGGAGGGCCATCTGTCAGGATTGCTTTGGTTGTTCTTTTCCTGCATGGCAGAAGGCTTGGACTGAATGGCCCTTGGGGCCCCTTCAACTCTAGGATTTAATGACTTGACTGCCTCTGAAGGAATGTGGAATGGGACATTCCAGCAGTCTATCAATGCAGTAAGTATCCTGGACAGTTTGAAGTCCGTGCTTAGCATGATTGCGGCACCCCTCCTGCATGTTCACACACTGGTTTTGACAACAATGGTGCAGAAATAGGGCCTGTATTCTGGTCCATAGGTAAGACCTATGGACCAGAATACAGGACCTATTTCTGCACCATTGTATTCTGGTCCATAAACTGGCATATCCACTGTATTCTGGTCCATAAACTGGCATATCCTTTCCACCTAGTTAGCCAGTCATGCCCTTTCCCCAGGGTAACTACAAGTAAATAGGGGCTTGAATCGATCAGTTCAACCCTTGTATCCCAGCTTAAGTTGTCAGTCTTTTTTCAAGTGAACCCCAGGAGGTCACTGCTCATGCTCAGTTCTCCTTGGGCTGTTTTCATAGCCTGTTTAGGATGTTTTAATGTGTTATATTTTGCCATAGCGTGGGCAACACCCACATATGCTGATCCTTCTCCTTGTTTCCCATTTTTCCCCTTTGGCTTCGGTCCTCTTGTCAGGTAAACCATTTGAGTTCAGTATCGTATTTCTTCCATGTAAGATAATAACTTAATTTTTATACCCTGCCACCATCTACCCGAAGGGACTCGGGGCGGCTTACATACGGAACCAAATGCAGAGCAAACAATAGAGCTTACATCTAAAACACAGTTTAAAACATAACATATAACAATATAATTAATTAAAAACAGGGTGTAAAACAACATTAAATGTATCAAAAGCAAACTTCAACAACTAGTAACTAGGACTATAATGGACATGATCAGAATTAGAGAGGGCCAGGCAGGGACTTGTGGAAAAAGCAAACTATAGAACAAGGGCTGGGAGTAAAGTGCTGAGTACAATCTAGCGGTCAATTAGGGCTGGGTGTTCATGAACAGGGCTAATTATCATCAAATGCACACTGGAACAACCAGGTTTTTGGGTCCTTGCGGAAGATGGACAGAGTAGAAGTTAACCTAATTTCCCTGGGGAGAGAGTTCCAGATGCTGTTGACCATAAGACACCCCCCTCATTTCAGCACCTCCCACCAGCACCAAAAATACGTATGATACACATGAATTTTATGACGTATCCCATTTTTGATATTTTCTGGTGTATAAGACTACTTTTTAACCCAAGGAAATCTTCTCAAAAGTCAGGGGTCGTCTTATACTCAGGAATAGTCTTATACGCTGGAGTAGCCTTATGCATGGGAGTCGTCTTATATGCCGGAGTAGTCTTATAGATGGGTGCTGAAACTTCCAATCCGGATTGGAGAATCTGTGGTTGCTGCATATTGTGGGCAGAGCTCAAAAATGGCAGTGGCCGTGTCCCTGCTGTATGCAGCGACTATGAAAGCATTCAGGGTGATGCTGTACAAGTACGGTAGAAGAAAATCCATTCATCAGGATTCGTGGACAATGCGGTCCCGATGGTGTGGTGAAGGGGCGCCTCACTGGGAAAGGGGAAGTGAAAGGTGGAGAAAGCTGCAGGCACCCAGGGTATGGAAAAAAGAGAGTGGCTCTGGGCCCAGAAAAACACCTTTTACCTGTCTGGCCCACACTTGTATCTTATTACCGTACCTCCTTTGCCTCTCAGATCTTGCTCCTGAAGACTGCAGTGAAGCGGTGCAGGTGCGCATATGCGAGATGTGAGAGGCAGAGAAGGAGTTACAGTAATAGGAAAACTACCATATTGAAATCAAATCTGATGCTTTTTAAATTTTTATTTGGTGTGCGTTGGAAGAGGTGTAGTCTTATACGGCAAGTATATCCCAAACTACATTTTAACTGAAAAAGTTGGGGGTTGTCTTATACGCCCAGTTGTCTTATATGCGGGAATATATGGTATATATATATATATATATACACACACACACGAAAAAAATGTGTCTTAGAATTGAAGAAATACACATTGACATTACTTGCAGTGTTGTAGCTCAGGCATGGGCAAACTTGGGCCTTCAAAGTTCTGGTTCAGTAGCAGAAACAAAACTTGTCAATCACCATGTTTCTTTTGATTTTTTTTTTTAAAAAAATAGTCAATAGATTTCAAATGTTGCTATGGTTTTGAGTATTGAGTTGCTGTGAGTTATCCGGGCTGTATGGCCATGTTCCAGAAGCATTCTCTCTTGACATTCCCCCACATCTATGGCAGGCATCCTCAGAGGTTGCGAACTTTTGAGTATTGACTTTCATTTTGAATATTTTGGTCATTACTCATGTTGCCCTTATTCACTTGTATCCAATCAAGATAGCCACAAAAAGAGCCAGAAAATCATCCAGACACTGCTGAGCATCCATTGCATTGAAATCACTTTGTACAGAAATTGCCCATAATCTTCCCCCTATTTTTTTGCGGGCTCTCAAGTCCCTGCCCTTCCTTTTTTTGCGCATTGTGACAACCTGCTCCTGGAAGCCTGAAGAAATAGCAGTTTCCTTCTATCGAGTATGCCCTCCTATGCTGTGTCCCAGCAGAAAATCCCAAATGCTCCTCCGTATCCCAACACATGAAGAGAAATGATCCTCCTTTTCCCAGATTGGGAATAACTGAATTTATAGGACTTGGGAGACCCATGGAAAGGTCTGTCGCTGGACACAAAGCATTCTCAGCTTGCAGTGCAAATAATGACAATAAATAGGACAAAGGTAAAGGTTTCCCCTTGACATTAAGCCTAATCGTGTCCGACTCTGAGGGTTGGTGCTCATCTCTCTTTCTAAGCCAAAGAGCTAGCATTGTCCATGGATGTCTCCAAGGTCATGTGGCCGGCATGACTGCATGGAGCACCACTACTTTCCTGTTGAAGCGGGACCTATTGATCTACTCAATAGGTACCTGATCAAGTTTAGACTTACTGCACCCTTCACCTTCTGCAGGGGTGGGTGGAGGACCCATTAAGATGGTCCGCCCCAGGAGGCTTATGGATCCGGATGGATTCCTGATGGCTCCTGGGGATATTCCTACCTCCCTGGTTAGTGATCCTGTCAATGCTCTTGTCACTCA